GTAACTCTGGACTCTGGACCATAGCAGTGGGTGCTGCCACGCGGCTCACTGTTGGCTGCAGTGCAGTCAGAGCAGAGAGGAAGTGTGAGGTCGCTTTAAATAAAACAATAAACAATAAATATGTACCATATTCTTTTTAATGGAAAAGTAAGATATCCCCTGAAAATAAGACCCAGTGCATCTTTGGGAGCAAAAATTAATATAAGACACTGTCTTATTTTCAGGGAAACAAGGTAGCTGCAGGCAGTTCAAAGAAGAGTTCTTATGGGTCTCCTAGAGAAAGGCAGTACTCTTCAACTCCCTGGAAAATGGCAACTGGCTCCTATACAATAATGCAATGCAAAAAGCAATCAGCCCCAACGACCTCAATGAAAAACAGGAGAAACAAAAAGCAATGGCAGAAGATATCCTGAACCTAACGGCGTGCATAGAAGAAGCAGACATTGATATGCCACAGAAAGAAATTTTCACAATGCTGCTTGAAGTCATACAGGATATGAGGGAAACAATACAGAAATATGATGAAAAATGGAGGATATAAAGCCCATACCCTAAGGAAAATACAAGAGCTTAGGGATGAGATAACAAAAACCAGTAGCAGACTCATGGACTTTACCAATCAACTGGAGGAGGCACAGAACTGCACCAGAGACCTAGAGGACAGCCAAGCAGATTTTAACAAACATGAATAAAAATCTAATAAGCTCATCAGAGAAGCTGAAGAAAACCCTAGGAGCTATGCTTGGTGATATGAAGAGGAACAACATCAGAATAATTGGATTACCAGAGGCAGACACAACAAAGAAGTCATCTGCAAAAATAGTGAGAGAATTCTCAGAGGAAAACTTCCCCAGCTGAATGAATGAAAATCAGACACTTCAGGAGGCTGAAAGAACACCAGCTAGACTGAATCCCAAGAAGAAGTCACCAAGGGACATAATAGTTAAACTATCCAACTTTGAGGGAAAAGAGAAAATCATGAGAGCAGCTGGGGATAAACAAGCAGTCACATATAAAGTTTCCCAAATAAGAATATGCTCAGACATATCAGCGGACGCTGAAGAAGAGGAGAGAGTGGAGTAACATTCCAAAAATTGAAGGAAAATAACGCAAACCCAAGGATAATCTTCCCAGCCAAATTATCTCTCATGATAGATGGAGAATTAACAGTCCTCCCAGTCAAGGAAAAACTCAAAGAATATGTTAAAAAAAACCAACTCAGCCCTACAAAAGATCCTTGCCGACCCAGTATGGGCAGAAGAACAACACTCACCGAACACAAGCAAGAGACCACCACATAGAATAACTCTACCCAGAGGGCAAGAAAGAGAAAACAGAGCACAAGATAGCATTGGCTTATGGGTGGAAAGAAGTCAAGAATGAACCACAAACACAAACGCACACACACACTGATAAGAAAAGGAGGTAAGAAAACACCCAACACAAAAGTTATAAAATGGCATTACAGTGTCCACAGATGGAGATCATAACCCTGAACATCAATGGACTGAACTCAGGCATTAAAAGACTGAGGCTAGCAGACTGGGTTCAAAAACACAACCCATCAATCT